TGTTCTTTCCTCAATAATTATAATCAATTCAAGATTCATTAAAAACTCTGAATTAAATATGCAGCCAATGTAAAAACATAAATGGATCCCAGTAAATGTAAAACCAAAAGACTTTCTACATTCATAAGAGCCAATGAATGGCTTTTTAAAAAAGAGTATAAAAAATGATCTTTTATGCTGCTAAATGCCATTATTACTAATACCCTATAAATCATATTAAGCAGCCACTTGCACTTAAGAGCAATATGAACTTGATTTATAATTCAGAGAACAATGATTGGAATAATTTTACTTTAAAGATTTAAACCCAAATGATCCAAGAGGATAAATTTATGAATCTCTGAGTAATCAACATGACTAGTGCTCCCCCAACCCTTGTCATTAATTAACTGTTTAAATGGACTCGTAAAGAATCTCCCAGAATGATTCCTTCAGAATGTTTTTCTTCTCTCCTAAGAGAAATAGATAACACACATTTTAGATAATGAATACTGAAGCTACCTTTCTAAACAAAATTCTCAGAATTTGTTTTACTTTGACAAAATACTAATACAAATCTTTGTCTACACAGGGACCATGAATCTTTTTTAATCTACATTTCCAAATAGACTCAGGCATAACATCTCAAAGCCAAAACAGGATTAGAAATGAACTGGCAGTACTTTCTCTTTTTCTTGGTCCACAATTAAACTATTATGGTTCTTTAACTTCTGTTTCTTCACTTCCATTTCTGAACATTTCCTTGCATAAGAAAATTTCTGACCTCCCTTTCCTCCATGTGCAATATTCTTACAAATTCAAGGAATCTGTAGAATTTAAGTAGGAGGAAGTAACCATTCCTAGGGTCAATGTGATTGCTTTATGGAGAATCACAATGAAAATAACATTTTGCACTTACAGAGGTATTCCAATAAGGATTTTGTAAATCTTATTTTTGCTATTTCTTTTATTTCACTATAGTTTGTTTTTCTCACACATTTTCTAGTGTTTTTTTTTTTCAGTTAGAATTTCAGACTTCCATTTCCTTCCTTCTAAACATTTCTTTGTTTTCAGTTTAAACCCTTTCTCACATCTCATTTTATCTTCCTTTTTCTTTCTCTCTTTTTTTTAACTTTGTTGGGATAATATTTATTGGATTTTCTTTCCTCCATTTTCATAATGCTTCTATATTCTTTTATTGGTGAACCTACATAATAATCCATACAATTGAAAAATAACTTAATATGACAGTGATTTAATATGTTATCTTTTTTTCAATATTTTCTCCTCTCTTACAAATGCAGAATATGTTATATTTTTTTCCAATTTCTGTTGCAAATTTTGTGTGGCTCTCTTGGTCCAAACATCTTTTCTGTCTTTTTGTAATCTGCCTACTAAGCCTGTGAAATTGATGAAAAGCAATCATTTCATGGCTAGAATTTGGAGACAAAACTGACAGAGACTGTGGATAATTTGGATATGTAATATAAAAGGAAGAAAAACTTATATTATTTTTGGTTCTGAACATCTAGTATTCTTTTTGGTACTATTTCTTCTTAAACCTAACCAAGATTTCTTCTTGGAAAGGATTGAATAAGGCTATGCGCCTTATTTACTTTCACCTTTGGTACAAAAATCATTGCCTCTTAATACCCTGAGCAATTCAAAATCACCTGTGACTCAGGCCATTTGTTTGAACTTAAACTTGAAATTAAGTTTGTCCATTGAGAAAAACTTTGCACTGCAGACTAATGTCTTCAAGATCACATTTTATTCAATATGATCTATATTTCTCTCTTTTATGCAATGTTACTAAAACTTGCATTCTGACTTTTTAAACTATTTCTCAAAAACAACTGTCTTAGTGTACCACCTTTTTTAATACAACAAGTAATAGTTTTATTAAATAATTTGGCAAGACATAAAAAATCACCAGATTTCCAAATATTTTACTTTTATCTCTTAGACACTCTACTTTCAGTTACCTTTACTACTTAACATTCAAGGCAGGGTTTTGTAGAAAAAGATACTCCAAAATTACAGGGCCAAGAACTAAATGGATATATATATATATTTTCCTTTTTCCTTTTAACAGTCTGTGCCCATATCTTTACTCACAAAGTTATCTATTAAAAACTTTTATTTTATATTATAATTGTCAACATGTTATAATATGACATAAAAATTTCTACATTCTGGCTCTCTCTAGGTCATAAAGATGGAAAGTGATTGGTAAGTAATATACTTCATAACATTAAATCAGTATATGTCACCTCTGCTTACATTCAATTAATAAGGAATTTAGTACATCACTGGTCCTATTTCAAGTAATGATGAAAAATATAATCTCTAGATGTAAACATGTAGATGTTTACATGTTAATGCTAAAATTCAAAAGTTTTATGAAATGAACAAGATGAAAATGGATGATGGAGGAATTATGCAGTTTCTGCTACAGCTAATAATCTCATCATGTAATTTGAAAGTTAGTGAAAATATTTATAGATATTGAAAATAAACCTGAGGGGCTGGGGTTGTAGTTCAGAGGTAGCATGCTTGTCTAGCATGCATGAGCCACTGGGTTCGATCCTCAACACTATATAAAATAAAGGTATTGTGTCTACATACAACTAAAAAATAAATGTTTAAAAATAAGCCTGAGGACATACAGAAGAAAAGAAAAGAAGAAGTACAATGGAAATCAAGGAGAAGGGATTTAATAGTTTCAAGTGTTGCATGTAGATCTCTGTATGGTTAAAAAAATATTGACAATTGTAGTCAGGAACTGAAATATTATGGAAAACACCAAAGAGCATTACTGAATTGCCCATATATGTGAATTAAAGTGCTAATTATTATGCAGAAAATAAAGTAGTGTTCAAAATCATTTGGGAATACTAACACATAATCATGGTAAAATAAATAAATTCACTTAAAATGTTGATAATTTTATTTTGTGAAGCATTTTTTCCTATTAGATTTGATATACAGTAATATTCAACTTTAAATAGTTACATTTGGCAGAATTGTTTAAAAAAAATCAACTGATAAATTAAAACTTAATTGAATGATAAATATCAATACATACTATTTTTAAAATTATAATTTTTATCCAAGATAAAATAGCATCCCACCCAGATGAGTTTTATTTCACATAATGAATTATATTACTTCCAAATATATTTTGCATCTTGGTTAACTGCTGTATTTTTCAACTTGTAATTTTTATAACAGTGGCAAGTTACAAGAAATGTATGAATACTTGATAATTTCATAAGTCAAGATGATATAAAATACTATTTTACTATTAGAATTTGAGAACTCTGTCTTTAAATGTGCTGTTAAACTGGAAATCTTTTCATGTTGTTTCCAAATTCAGATCAAAGACACCTTCCCCCTCCCAGACTACTGAAAGACAGATATGCATTCTGTGTCTCTCTGTGCATGCTGCTGAGGATCGAACCCTGGGCCTCATGCATGGTGAGAATTTCTTCTACCACATACCTACATCTCTAGCAAGAGATGCTTTGATGTAAAAAATCACTGATACCATTTCCATTGTAAAATGTATGAGAAATGTAATATACCAATGAGACTATATAGTATGGCACAGCAACCCAGTACTTAATACCTTAAAAAAAAAAAGAAAACATTTTTATGATTCTGAGGGTCAAAATTTGTCTGCATCAAACTGAGAGGTCTGACTGGGAAAGCCTTAGCTGAATTGGACTGAAGTTCACCCTGGCATTGTGTTCAGCTGCTGGGGCTCTTGGGATTGACTGTCTGCTAATGCTCTCCATATAGCCACTCCTCTACCTCCTCTGGCAGGATAACTCAGACTACCCTGCATGGTATGAGGGAATCCAAGATCAGCACCAGATGGTGCATTGCAGGGAGAAAGATGTCCCATGCCTCTTATTTAGTCATATTTGTGAATGCTGCTTGGTCAAAGAAAGTCACATAACACTCCATATTTGAGGGGTGGAAAAATATACTACTTTTGTATGAAAGGCTCAAAGTCAATGTTGCCAGTATATAGATAAAGAGAAATTTATTATTATTATTATTTTTACAATTTTTTCATGCTGCTAATATTTTTATTTAACAAAATTTACTTTATATTTTCTTAAAGAAATAACAATTTTAAGGTATTAAAATCATAATTTTCTAAGACTTACACTGAGGTGATAGGAATTAAGACAACTAGAATTATACCACTAATCTTTTATAAACATATCATTTGTGAATTTTTTATAGAATTAATATGATATCTTTATTATGTAGTACTAATTTTTAAAAACATTTTTATTTATAAATGGACACCGTATCTTTATTTTATTTATCTATTTTTATGTGGTGCTGATGATCAAACCAATGCCTCATGCATGTGAGTCAAGTAGTCTACCATTGAGCCACAACCCTAGCCCCACTGATTTTTAACTATTTAGAAAAAAATAATAATATAGCAACTAGGTCCAATGACTATCTGATTTTAAATTAGTTTTCATGTTTAAATATTTTATATATTTTAGAGTATTTGTCTGAAAAGTACTTAAATTATATATTTTATATATAAATGTAATACATAACATTCATCAATATTATCTTACTAATTTATCACTAAATTGTAATATCCACTATCTTTATAAATGGAATTCTGAAAATGTATTATTTCTTTGTCACTTTTGAAATTTCTGTTTTGTACAAAAAATACAGAATAGAAATTAACACAATTAGCATGAATGCTTTTATTTCATTACCCTCAAGGAAATGTAGACATATAAAATGTTTAACTTTTAAATTAAACATTTACCTTTTAAACAATTTAAACTGTTTTGGTGGAGATTCTATCTTAATCTCTGCCTTTTCCTTAGTAACTCTTGCCAAAATTATAAAACTAAGATGTTCACCTCTTAAAGAAATTCAACATGTTGATGTTGAGGGAGACTTCTGGTTTTGTTTGCCATCTGGTTGCCTTGGAAACTATACTCTTGGAAATAAACTTTGTTTCTGAGTTTAAGCTTGTACCATGGAAACCAGAGAAGATAAATTCACCTTCACAACAGGAAATGGTTGAAATGGCAGGGGAAGTGATTGAAGAAAAATTAGAAGATATATGTATTTATTTATAATTTCTATTTTTAATTATAATATTTGAGATAATTAATGTGCTATATTATGATTGATAAAATTGAAGGAGTGCTGGTAATTTCTGTAATAGCTGACCCAGCTCCAACTTTAAGAGACCGTAATATATTTATTATGATGATTAAAATATCTGAGCACCAACAGAGGTCTTGGTCTTCAGAAAGCTATAATCAAGAGCTCATATTATTTTTTGCATTATTTCAAAATTTAATCATTTAAAAAACAAAAAAATATGCCAAAAATATGTTAATTTTGTTAAAAACAATTCAGTTGCCTGTTTCATCACTTTGAATTTATGATTTGGATATGCAGTTGTAGTTCTACTCATCTGCACACACTTATCACAGATTTTGATAAAACTAAAGGAACCTAGTGTATTCAATGGAGTTCTAAAGTTGTCCCTTTGCCTAGGTTACTCAGTAGAAATCCAATATAGGTAGCCCTGCAGAGGGATTCACAGATAGAATCAGGTCTATTATTAGTCTGCAAATGGACATAAAAATTTAAAATATCCATATGGGTTCAATGCAATCGCATTAAGCACATAAGAGGAAGACTGAGGGGTCTGAGAAATGTGGCAGAACAGGGCAGTGACTAAAGAGGCAGAAAGAGAGGCCAGGGATTCAAAACACAGAAGGACTTGACTGTAGTTTTTGAAGATGGAAGAAAAAAGGTAACAAGTCAAGGAATGCAGGAGGCCATTCAAAGTTGATAATGAGAAAAGCCCAGAAAAAAACAGTAAGCTCAATGCTTAAACAACTATGTGGAATTGTATTCTGACAACAATCTGGACAACCAAAGAAACACTTCTCCCTAGAAATTCCAGAGAAAACATGTTGTTTTTGGCCTGTAATATCTACAAGAGATGACCCAGCAGAGTCCATGTAAGAGCTAATATACAGCATTATGAGATAATAAATTTGAAGTGTTTAAAGTTTACACTAATATTTTTGGGGCACCAAAAGAAAAATAAATAATTACTTTTGAATTTTATTCAACATTTTAAGCCATTATTATGCTTTTCATTTGTTATTTCATCTTCATACATTATTCTCTTTATTCATTTAGCAAGATAGATATGGAGAGAAAGAACGTATCTTTCTAGCACTTGTCAGAGTTGTAAGAAAATACATAGGTAGGTACTAATACATTTTATTTGATATCAGTGGTCCCTGCTAGAAAGAATGCTCACTTAATGAGAGGGACCATATAAAAGGTATTTTATATCTAGGTATTCCTATATGAATATCCCCTGAATTATAATTACATTTAGAGACTATGTGCCCAAATAAATATAAGAAAAAAATTTTTGAATTAAGTTTTATGGGAATAGAGAAAACAGTGAGTCAGTAAAGACCATAGGATTTCTAGTTAATACAATTCAGAATATTTTATGACTAATTATGCTAATGTTAGTTTTAATAAAAAAATGGATAGGGTATTGAAAACTGCACATGACATAGGTGGCTTTCAAAATAGAAGAAAGCTTATGAATAAAGAAAAAGAACTTGTAAAGTATTATTAGTAATTGTCAGGTAGGAGTACCTGATGTCAAACTCCATTTTTTACCCTATGCAGGATTCAGTTACAAATGGAAAGCTTTGAGGTATTTTGACTGTCAATGAAGCACGCCAATTTTGGAAATATCTCTGAAATTTCTATCATATATTTAAGTGCCATGGTTAGAGTTATTAATACTTTCTTTTCCTAAAATGCAAAATATTTTACATAAAAATAAACTGCTGGCATGAAAATTTATTTTTTAGAATTATTTAAAATAATGCAAAAATGGGAGTCAGTATGCCTACTCTAGGACAACTAGAAAGTTGTTCTAGAGGAGATAAAATAGAAATTCAATATTTTACATTTACACTAGAGTAGGATAGCTAATTAATATCTTTATTTTTCTCAAAGGGGAATAAAGTTATTGATTAGTCATCTATAGGGCATTCCATTAAATACAGTTATTCTAAAAAATCTGTTCACATTCACCAATAATTTAAAAACACTGGAATTATTGAAAATATTTTCATATTTTAAGTAAAACAAAGTATCTGTCGACATAACTAAAATAGTGTTCAGGTAACTGCATTATTTTAAGGATCTGCCCATTTATGTAGAGCTTAGAGGGCTACATAATCCTACACATTCACTAGGTGTCTTTAGTGCCACCCACATTTGATCAGAAAGCAAGAACTTTTACATTAAGGTCCATACCCCCCATCTCCCCCCCCCCACAAAAAACTGAAGATGGTGGAGGAAAACAAAGAAACTATCAAAACCTAAAACAAACTATTTCATATAGAAGAGCATAACTAAAGATCTGAATTATCCTAAGAAACCAGGTATTCTTGGAATCCTCCATAGGAACCCTAGAGACATCCTTAAGTTGTAAACGGCTGGTTTTTGATACTGAAACTTCTATTTATTAATTAACTATGGTATCTTTCAGGATTATAATGATTTTTTTAAACAAATGCCCAATAAAGATAAAAATTATGTTTTAATGCAATTGTATTTTTTTTAAATATTTTATTCCTTGGAGCCAATTGTGACATACAAGAGAAGGATGACTTTCCCTATTTGAGCTTTCAGCTTTACTTAATAGTAAAAATAATTTTTAATTCAGTCTCTTCTACTGAGCTTATCTATCTCTAAAACCTAGATTTTGTTTCAAAAAAGGGTTTATATTAAAAATAATAACCTTCAGAAATTCCAAGGAGTACTCCATAATTTCCTATACAATTGACTTGGTAAAATAAGTAAAACCTAATTTTATAGTTGCTATAGTTGCTACATACAGGAAAATGCACAGTGATTGTTTGTTAGCATATTGAGTTCATCTAATTATATTTGACCTCTCCTTAAGTAAACTGCAAATTGCTTGAAGCTAATGAATATGTTTTATTATTCTGTATATTGTAGAAGTAGGCAAGAGTTGATTCTTACCTCTCTGATACAGATGTCCCCTGTTTATGTCAATTGCCTATGGATGCATTGGCTTCCTCTTATCACCCTATTGGTGGAGGAAACAGTCCTGCCATTGGGTTATGGGATAACAGAACATGACACACCCAGTATCAAATAGTATATTATTTGTATGTAACCATAGTCTAAGAGATAAAAGAACAGCATGCCCCAGAAAGGGACACACAAATGTTCTATTTGGGAACACAGGAAAATCCCAGGGCTGTGAGATGCTGACTCTAGTTTCAAGAGCATGAGGGACAACAGTTCCTTGGGGAAACATGATGAGGCTGTTTGAATAATTCTGTGAGTTGTCAGGGAACAGAAGGACTCTACTCGGACATAAGAATGACTGCTTCTGTTGGAGGCCATATATAAATTATGGGTTTGTTCAAGCCATTAAGGCAGGGAAGCTGCTTCTCTGGCAACTCCTGGGTGAAATTCCCCATTCTAGAGAAGCCAAAATCATGCTGGTGCCCTGTCTTAGCTCATAGCCTTAGGGTCAAAGAGCCTGCTGGAGATGGGAGTAACCTGCCAAACACCTAATAATCTTTTTTTTAATAATCATAATTCTTTAATATCTAATATACAACTAATACACAGATTTCTCCAGCTATTACAAATAAATTTTAGACAAAGACAAATTAGGTTCTAATAGGAGCATGCAATACATTTGATTAATATATCTTTTTAAAAAATTTTTGTATTTGTTTTAATTAGTTATACATGACAGTACAATGACTTTGATATATCATACATTTGAATCAGATGGGATATAATTTCTCATTTTTCTGAGTATACAGGTTGCAGAATCATATTGATCATGCAGTCACATATATACACACTGTAATAATAATGTCTATTTCATTCTACTATCTTTCCTATGCCCCCATCCCTACCTCTCCCCTCCCATCACTTCTCTCTATCTAACCTAAGGTAATGCTATTCTTTTTTTTTTCTCCCATATTCATACATGTATTTTGTATAACTATGAGGGTCTTCTTCCATCATCCATGCAATTCCCCTTCTCCCTCTTTTTCCCTCCCTCCTCTCTTCCCTATCTAGAGGTAATCTTCTTCCCACGCTCTTCCTCCCTACCTCGTTTTGAGTCATCCTCCTTATATCAGAGAAGACATTTGGCATTTGCTTTTAGGGATTGGCTAACTTCACTCTAATAATCTTTTTACTGCAAAACCACTGCAGCATGGAGAAACCAGCACCAAAACAAGACTCCTCCCACACTGCAACCTTATCCCTGCCTTTGATGTACTCCCCCTTAAATAAAGAATCCCGGCCTTTTTAAATTGTTCAGTTCCAGTTCCCATCAGGGCTAGGAAGAGCCATCAGAAATCCCACTTTTGGATTTGTCTTCATTTCTTACTGATTATTTTGAACTTCTTATTTTCCCAGGTGGCTCACATCTCCTGAGCAGGAGCCTACTCTGCCAGAGTGCTGGTCACCCCATCTTGGTATTCATGATTAAGAGTAAGTGCTCTCCCAGGGGGCTCTATTGAACTGGCAGTACTTGTAGATTACGGTTAGCCTATTCTAGGTCCTCCTGGTTTCCTCCAAATATCAAGACATACAAAACACTAGATTATGATTTTAGATGTGAATAAACCAAATGTCAGCAAATGATCTTGTAAGAGGTGAAAGGGAAGCACTTGTATGTGCTTCTAATTTTCAACTCATAGATCATCCCAAGGGAAGTTCTTCATTGGTATTTCCAGAAAAAATGAGAGATCACAGAAGGAAGAGCCAGCATGTTTCCCTTACCTGCTTTTCTGAGAAAGACCCAGACAATTTCTCCAATTTATGTCTCTCTACAGGGCCATCAAAATTTGATTCTTGAGACAACAGCTTTGGTTCAAATGTTATTACATTGTTCACTTAATCTGATATTTAAAGAACTCAAAATTGAGACTGAAATCCAATATTTTAGGTTGGCCTCCTACTTTCATGTAATGCCTATAATTAAGTGAAATTTCTCTTATCTCTCAAGCTTAGTTTGATCTTCCCTAATGTTAGATAAATGTGTTTGTGCTTCTATTCTTTTAAAAATCCATACTGCATGAATCATTTCTCTTTTTCTCATTTTCCATATCTATAATACAGGAAAAAAATATTATACCCTTCATTTTTTTATTAGGAGTGAATAAAATAGCAGCTTTAAATTACTCATCAGTTTTGCACAGATTATAAATACTTGCTTCATAAATACTATAGAATATCATGTTCATCAATAATAGCCCTGATTTCTAAACAAAGTTCAAAAAAGAATCAATATGGTGTTGTAATTGCTAACATATAAAAGCATGTCATCACTAAAATATAATTTTCTTATATGTATATATCATGCAAAATTAAATGGCTACTAGAAATTGTGTAAAATTTAATTGTATAAGCAACTATTCTTGTTAACATCAACACTAATAAACATGTTCAAATTATAAAAGAAAAATAGACATATATATTTTATAAAATTAAAAGTTTAACAGAGAAAATGTGACTAAAAATCTGGGTTTTTAATAAATTTTCGTGGTTTTGTTTGTTGGTTTGTTTGGGCTTGTTTGTTTTTGTGTTTCTTGGGACCAAACCCAGGCTTTGCACATGTCAGCAAATGTTTGTTCTATCACTGAGCTACATATATCCCTATCCTTAAAACTCAAGTTTTAGAATTTCCTATATGGGAAAAAAGTCTGAAAGATCAATCAAAATTAAATGAAAAAAAATGAGTGAAGGAATGACCAGTAGAGCAGAGGAAGAAGAACAGGGCAGGGAAGGTGAGACACCAAGGACTGAAATGGAATAATTTAAATTCCATGCAGGTATGATTTTGTCAAAATGAACCCAACTGTTTTGTACAACTATAATGCACTAATCAGAGAGAACCAAAAGGATATGAAACATATTTTTCTTTATATAAATAAATTATTGCAGTTATGCTTCTTTATTGTTCTATATATTTCTAATTGTATTAATTTTTAATCTCTCAAAAGGCTTGGAACCTTACCAGATTACCTTACTCCTTTGAATTATTAAAGCTTTTTATTTTTTCAGCTATATATCAATTATCCATATGTCTTCCACTTTGTTTTTTTCTTGTAGAGATGATATTATCATGCAGAACAGCATAACATACTACCTCAAAACTCGGTGACTAAATACTAATTATTGCACTTTAAAATTTTATGGCTTCAGAATTCAGGCAGTATTTTACTAGGTAAGTCTTAGAGTCATGGGCTTCAGGGGGATCCATCATGGATTTCATATTATGTCTGGTTGGACTGGAGGATTCAGAATAGCCTGCTCATGAGTATGCCTGGCATTATTGTGGAGATAGCTAGAATTTTGGGCTCAGCTGACTCTACTGTTCATATAGTCTCAGGTACTCTCCATATCACTTCTTAGGATATTAGTATTTCTTTCATGGCAGACTAGGGATTCCTGAGACCTAGTAGGAAGCAGCCATCCTCTTAAGCCTGATCTGCAATTGCCATAATATCACTGCTACAATCCTCTGTTGATTGAAGCACTCACAGGTCAGCCAAAGTTGAAGAAGTGAGGAAACATAATTCACTTCTCAATGGAAAAAGAATCAATCGTTTTGGGCCATCTTTAATTCAACACAGGAAGGTATTCTATATTGGATGAAAATATAATTCTGAAAACATTTAGTGTTTCATCCTATGTATGTTTTTTAGTGTATGTTAGCTCATTATCTCATTAGACACTGAAATACTTAAGATAATTTTGAAAAATTCTACTACTACTGTATGCATCCCTGGATTGGTGTTTTTGAATTATTCTGATAAACAGGACACTTCCACTTTTCCTATTTCTATATTTATTGAGAAACACAGATGATTGGTATAAGAAGGCTAGAAAACAAGAGCTTTTTTACAGGAAAACTAATACTGTAGCATATAGCTCATACGTATAGAGAGCTCATTTTCATAAATTCAAACTACAGAATTAGTCAGAGTTGCCCAAGATAGGTAATAACACCATTTCTTACAAGGCAGAAACCAGAGTAAAACATGTTTTCTGTTTTCATTACAGCTTGTAAGAAAAATGAGACAATTGGAGATGGCTTCCTTAAGTGGAGATTCTTACTTCTCTTCCCAAGAAAGAATTGTTTGTCTTGAAGAAAAGATGACAGAGAGAGAAAGAAGGGAAAGTAAGGCCATCCCCACTGAAAGATTTGCCAATGAATGTACCAAGATTCAAAAAGGTTAAGAGATCTTCACAAGACTTCAAATCTACTTGTTTGCAGATTGAGACTTTGCATCTAGAGATTCTGAGTCTGGTACCCCAAACTAGTTGCAATGAGATACACTGAAGCTTTCAAATACACCTTAGTGTGAAAGATGGTTCTGTCTATTAAAACATCTAACAGGAGATCCTAAATAATGTAGTCACTCAACTCATATTGGTAGGATCTGCCATCAACAAAATAACTGCAAAAATTTTAGATTATTATTCCTTGTGCATGAGACATCTGGAGCAGTGTTTTGTCCAGTGTATTCTATGGCAACATTTGCTCAGAGAAATCCTAGTAATCAATTTCATTTGAAAATTCTATGTTGTTTCTAAATCGATTTCACGATTTTAATAGATATTTTAGTGAGCAAACTTTCTCCAGAAGAAGAAAATTTACAATGGCAGTTTCCTGAAAATTGAAACTGAACTCAGAATATACTTTTGGAGTTTGAACTAGTATCACATTTAGTATTTTAAATGCTATGGTTTTCCACAATCCTATTGCTATGCTTTGCTGAATAAAGATACTTGGCAACTCTGGAAAATACTTTAAAATGATATTCATAATGGAGTTGAGGTTTATTTGTCTTCCTAACTTTGTTCATTTTTTTTCTCACAAAAACTAAACTAGTCACATTCAAATAATTATGTTTTCCAGATTTCTTCCATGGTGTGTGTGTGTGTGTGTGTGTGAATAGATGCAGAGAGCAGGAAAAAAGAGTAGGAAAGGGTACTTTGAAGTCATTATTTAAAATTTTTAAGTTAGGATCAGAGGAAAGCTATTGAACTATGTCAAAGTCAAAGATTTGAAGTTAGCAAGTATTCTGACAGCATTGTGTTAAAATTATATATCCTATAAATTAAAAAAATTCATGAATATTGGATCAAATCTTTGTTGAAAATTTTCATGATTCTTTTAAAAATAATCACATCAGTAGACAATATAAAACCATTACTTGATATCAACTAAGGTATTGTTGAGCTCCAGAAGAAATAAAAAATGAGATATTTATATATTCATCATAAGTCTAATTTTTGCAGACCTGAGGTTATTTTAACTAACAATCTGACTGCTGTTTTCTAAACATATTTCACTTGATTTTTACTTTTGATTTCTTTAAAGAGAAAGCAGTATACCATCTAGAGATGATAGTCAGAAGGGAAAAATTGCTGATTATTTCTCTATGTGTCTCGGGCTCTCTTAAGATGCTGTTGGAGATTTTAGTTCTGTGGAGGTACTCCAGATTCTCAGACTAGTCTGCATTATGTAGTCATAAACAGTTTCATTATCCATTATTTCCTCTTTTCTTCAGCTTATCAATTAAGAAGACTGAGAATGGAAGTAGGACAGCAAACACAAATGATCAGGAGCAGGAAAATTATCAAGGTCAAAGACATATTTTGAGAACTAAAATTAGGGAACTATGAATTTAATCTCAAGTGTAGCTTTCAAAGTAAAGCATTGAAAATTTATGTATACCTTTAAAGGAAACAATGAATCATAGCAAGGGCTGGAGTAAACTAAGATAAGTAGGAGGCACTATTTCAGTTTCCCCAGGTACATGTCTGTTGACCAGCCAGTGGGTCATGCTCAAGTAGAGTTGGATAAGCACAAGGTCATAAGCATTCAGTATTGCCACAGTCAAAATACATCTTCTATACGAGCTTTGTGAAAGTATATCTTCTCTAATAGTCAGCTTATATTTCTGCTCTCTGACAACATAATATGCACAAAACATCTCCTTCTCAGAAGTGACACTTTTTTATTCCCCAGCAGGTAACTAGATCTGATTTACCTTTTTGCACTTACACTTGAAAAACAATATGTGCCTACTTGTTTATATCCTTCAAAGTTTTACTTTCCAGTTTTAATAGTTTTTAAAAAGACTCTTTAAACAAGTAATGTTTTCACAAAAACATTGGAAAAAAGTCTTTTGGGCAGAAAACTAGGAAGATTTGCAGGAGTAGAGAATTTCTGTAAATAGAATTTTACTTTTCTGGTTACTGTGTGAATTTGGTGGTCATTTCATTTTTGGTATACACCATTTTTATAAAATAGAATTAAGAATGCTTTGTTGATGCTGTGTGGAGTGGCACATGCCTGTAATCCCAGTGGCTCAGGAGGCTGAGGCAAGAGGAGGATCATGAGTCCAGAGTCAGCCTCAGTGATTTAGCAACATCTTAAAGCAATTCAGTGAGACCCTGTTTCTAAATAAAATATAAGAACAAGGCTAGGGGGCTGAGGATATATCTTAGTTGGCAGAATGCTTGCCTTGCATGCACAAGGCCCTGGGTTCTATCCCCAGCACCAAAAAAAAAAAAATAATAATAATAATAATTGAAAAAAATTAAAAAATAAATACAACAACAACAGGGGTGGGCTTGTAGTTCAGTGGTTATGTACCCCTGTGGGTTCAATCCATGGAACCAAAACAAAACAAAACAGAACAAAGAATGCTTTGTTAGCTTTTTTCTTTTTTAATTTTCAGCAGAGAGTGTATAGGATGGAAATTATAAATATCTGTTTACCTTATTTACTGATTTGTGATGCTTTGTTGGCCTCAAGTTTACCTGCAGCAATTCCAGATTCACACACTAGTCTGCAAAGACTAGAAATCTCAGCATATTGATTTTTCTTTTTAGAAGAAAAATTAGCCAGGTACCTGATATGTTCCTGAAATGGTATAGAATTGGGGATATAATTATGTAAAACCCACCAAGATGCAGTGTGAAGGAAGAGTCTCTTATTTACTCTTAAAATTACTTTGTATATATTGTAATTGATGTGATGTATTGTGCTTCACTGGCTGTTTTTAATATCAAAATAAAATGAAATTGAATGTATACAATGAGAATTTTATATTTTACCTATTTTAAAACTGTTAAATATAAATAAATCTTGATATTTGCTCATTCAATTAAATCAATAAAGGGAGTAAGAAAGAGAGATGATAAAGCAAAAATGTTTTAAAATAATTTTACATAAAATGTTAAGACCAGCTTTTCATAATGGAGCATGGAAATTTCATCCTGTTTATAGACTATAAATTAAATTGTGCAGAGTAATATAAAGGGTGTCCATGTGTAAGTTTCTCTTTGCATTAGTGATCATAGGTACATTTTGTGGGATGCTTATTTCATGGCAAGCACAGTGGAAAGTATTTACTTTTGGTACACAAATTTTTGAATTTTTCACATACAAGGTGTTTCAAGATTTCGAGCCCTTGGGTGAGAAAAGAGAAACTCAAAGTGGTTCTATAACTATCCTAATATTATTCTATCTATTCATATTGCAGTCTGATTTGTATTTGGATACTTAAAAACCATTACTTTAAAAAACCGACTTCATTTACCTGAACAGTTAGTTACATGATGTAAAATTATATGGATGATGATAAACAAGAGAGACATATGTATATACATCATGGCTTTTTATTTATTTCTTCATTTATTTATGGTATTAGGCCAAAACCTGAAGTCCATTATTCCCTTGACCACCTGCTTGCAGCCAAAATCACCTAATTATCTACGCTTTCTAGGGCATAATTTTGAAAAGGCTTTTTTCCCTTCCAAATTTTATATGTGAATTCCTATATGCAATTTTTGAAAGATCTTACAAGGAAAACCTTTCATAACACCATACTTGACATTTTGAGGTGGTTAGTACACACTTGCCCCAGTGCGCATGGCAGTTTAAACACACTGCTCTATTATTACCTCTCAGTTTCCATTATGACTCTATGCACTTTCTTATGCTTCAAAGGTTTGTTTTTTGGAAGTATTTATGTTGCATTAACCACTTGAAGACGAACGCAGTTTTGAGTACTTTGCACACAACAAACTGTGCAGTGAAGAAAGGCTCCACTGCACTACCCATTAACATTGTTGTACATAGACCTGACCCTCACATTTCAGGCATATGACAGGATTACAAATATATCCTCTGAAGTTATATGCCACTCTGA